AGCCTGGGCTACAGAGTAAGATCTTGTCTCAAAAGGCTAAAATAGAGCCAGCAGAACTAAAGGGAAAAGATGTTTGCCCCACAGCCCTGGTGACGTGAGTTTCATTCCCAGAACCCAGGCAAGGGTAGGAAAGAGCTGATGCTATAAAGTGTTCTCTGACTTCTATGCATGTGCCCAACCAAAAATGATATTGATAAAAGGTAAAAAACCAAAACAAAAGATATACTGTGTCTTCAATGTATGGATATGGAACAATTAAAAAAAAAAAAAAGGCTAGGCTTTCTTCTTTAATCCCAGTACTTGGGAGGCAGAGGCAGGCAGATCTGAGTTCAAGGCCCGTCTGGTCTGCAGAGCAAGTTCCAGGGCAGCCAGGGCTATACAGAGAAACCCTGCTTCAAAACATGTACAAGGAAGAAGGAGAAGAAGAAAAAGAAGAGAAGGGGGAGAGGGGAGAAGGGAGGAGCATTAGGAGGGAGAGGAGGGCGGGGAAGACAAGACAAGGAGGGGGAAGAGGAGGAAGTGGGGTGGGGGGGAGAAGAGGAGGAGGAACTGAGCAAAAGCGAGTGGCTTAGTGTAAGTGTATCTACATGAGCAACATGTACCTAAAGCATGGAGCTTTCTAGAAAGATTCTCAGAAGTATGAGAAGATAATGGTTGTTTGTATTTGGTAAAGGGAATTAAAGATCTGAAGTTAGTGGCAGATTCATTTTCCATGCTACAAACTTCCAAGGTGTTTGAAAAAAAATGTACACATAAAAATGTAAATGCAGTATACTGGCATCATGTTCATAACTGTTAACTTTCTAGGCAATGTTCTGAAGGCTTTTTTTTCCTTAGTGGCTTGAAGATGGAGGAACTAAAAGTCCTATTCTTGTCACCATACTTAGAAAACAGACAATCTGAGTATGCCTAGACTTGTCAAAGTGTGGAGGCAACGTGTGAAAAACGAAATATGCTCATCTCTCAGACTGAGCTGGGATGAATAGACAGGGGTGCAGCTGGGTAACTGGGTCAGCCTCCCCCAGGCCCTCCCAAATAAAGCATCAAGGCCTGGTCTGTCCACTCACTCCCTGAGGGATGCTGGGTGCTCTTCTCCAGATCTACAGGACCATCTGAGAGCCCTGAGGGGCTACAGGGTTTCATGTAGCCCAGGCTGGCTTCAAACTCACTATGCCTCCACCATGAGTATGGGATTATAGGTGTGAGCCAGCACCCTCAGTTTTCTTGGTTCTGGGATTAAACTCAGGGCTCTGTGTATACTAGGTGAGCCCTCTGCTAACTCCTAACTCCTCATCCATTTGTTTTAAGACAGACAAGATCTTTTTTTTTTTTTTTGTATTTTCGAGACAGGGTTTCTCTGTGTAGTTCTGGCTGTCCTGGCACTCACTCTGTAGACCAGGCTGGCCTCAAACTCAGAAATCCGCCTGCCTCTGCCTCCCAAGTGCTGGGATCAAAGGCATGCGCCACCACCGCCCGGCCAACAGACAGGATCTTGATAAGTTGTCCAGGCTGGTCTCAAAACTCACAGGCTCAAGTGACCTTCTCACCTTAGTCTCCTGAGCCACACCAATAGGTGTATGCTATTGCATCTGCTCTTGCCACAGGGTTTGTCCCCAAACCTTCCTAGATCTTCTCTCTGGGCCCAGTTATGAATTCTAGAGTTTCAGTATTCTGCCTTGAAGAAGGAAGGTCACATAGTCTCTTTCATCTGGCTATTCATAGTTTCTATGCTACATACCTTATCCTTCTCAAATCAACATTCTGGAGTTTGTTTGTTTGTTTGTTTGTTTGTTTGTTTTTTAGACAGGGTCTCACTATAGAGTCTTGACTGGCCTGGAGCTCACTGTATAGATCAGGCTGGCCTCAAACTCAGAAGAGATCCACCTGTCTCTGACTCTTGAGTGCAGGGGTTAAAGGCATGTGCCGCCATGCCCAGCTCCTTGGCTACTTTTTATAGAATACTTCTCTTAGTTTTCCAAATTTCTCTTTGACTTCACATATTTTGAGTTCTAATAACAAGATACCTCAGGTCCAGAGAGATGGCTCAGGGGTAAAGCTGCCTGTTGCCAAGCCTGACAATCCAAATTCAATCCCCCCCGCTTCCACAGAGTGGAAGGAGAAAACCTACTCCTCTCCACGTGTGCCATGGCACATGTACAAGGGGAGGTTGCATGTGCATGCGCACACACACACAAATGGAAGAAAGATGTTTCAGTGTAAATACGTGAAAAGAATGTCCTTTCTGTATATCTCAGCCTAAATTCAGACCAAAGAAAAAAATCAAGACTGTGGGCAAGGCATAGTCACTTACACAGAACTAGCTACGCAGCCCAGGCTGGCCTTGAACTCATGACAATCTTGCTGCTTCAGCCTCCTGGATAGTGGGATTTCAGGCTATGCCACCACATCTGGCAAGAATTGTTTATTTTATTTGTTGGTTTGGGATAGGGTCAGAACAACATGCAGTCTAGGCCCAAAACAGGAAATCCAGGCCTCTATAGCCAAATAATAGCAAGTTAGATGCTCAGGATGAAAGGAAACCTAAAGGGGACACAAGGTGACAATGGCAGAAGAAATTCTGGGTTGTTGGCTACTCAGTGAAGGAGCAGAAGACAGACGGGGCATACAGACATGCTGTGATTTCCTGACTTAGCCCATTCATTGCCTTTAAATTTGCTGTCCCAAGGAACCTGGAGGCCTATTTATTCTCAGTGAAGCTAAGATCCATTGTGTTGAGGTGGGAGAGACAGCCCAGCAGTTGCCAGCACACGATGCTCTTTCAGAGGACTAGGGTTCGGTTCCCAGCACCCACATCATGAGCTCACAAACACCTACAGCTCCAGGAGAGCAGCAGATGCCTGATGTTCCTGTCACAGATTGCACACCAAGAGACCCAGCTCTGGTGTGTCCAGGTTACTCCATCTGCGAGGTTTCGTGTCTGTACCCTCTTTTGGCTTCCGTGGGCACCTGTATGTACATGCATGTGCACACACATATGCACACCTTAATAACAAATAAATATTTTAAAAATAGCCTTTGTGGGGCTTGTGGTGTAGATCAATAGTAGGATGCATGCTTAACACACACAAGGCCCTGGGTTCACCACAGCACCAAAGAGAGAAGAGAAGGGGGCCGAGGGGAGCCTGTGTTCATCTCACTTCTACATACCGTGATAAGGAGGGAGGATTCTTATTCTTTTATTTTTTAAAGGTTTGTTTTATGTGTATGTATTTTGCCTGTCTGCATGGTGTCCAGGGAGGATCAGAAGGGACCATTAGAGTCCCTGGAACTGGAGTTACACATGGTTGTGAGCCTCCACATAGATGCTGGGAACTGAATCTGAGTTGATTTAGAGCAATAAATGCTTTTGACCATTGATTGAGTCATCTCTCCAGCCACAGACATTTTTTTTTTCTTTCTAGAGAGGACCTTGCTAGGCAGCTCTCCTGGTATACTTGCTACATAAACCAGGCCAGCCTCCAGCTTGTGGAGTTCCTTCCTTGCTGGGACTCCAGGCATGTGCCACAGAGCCTGGCTCCTGGCAAGAAGCGTGTATTCCTGATGTTCCTATCACAGATTACGCACCAAGTGAGCCAGCTCTGGTGTATCCAGGTTACTCCATCTGCGAGGTCTCGTGTCTGTGCACGTGAGTTCTGTTCCTTCGTTCTCTCCGACCTCTGATGCAGTCTATAACCTACTCAGACCTCTACCAAAGGTAGAGTCAGAAAGCAAGCCTACGAACTTAGAAAGAACTCTGGTTTGTTTGTTTAGTTGGTTGGTTGGTTGGCTGGTTGGTTAGTTGGTTGGTTGGTTAGTTAGGTGGTTGGCTGGTTGGTTAGTTGGCTAGACAGTGTCTCATGCAGCCCAAGCCAGCCTTAAACTCCCAAGGGCTGCATTTGCAGCCGTGTATCACCGCTCCCAGCTCTTTTGTTTTTATTTTTGAAATGTGTAGACAAAATGGCACTGGTGACTTCACCTAGTTATGTTTGGCCTCATGACCAAAGATACCCAGGCATTTCTAAGAAGTCCAGTTTTGTTTCTGCCTTCTGTCTGTCTGTAAGTCACCTGAATATCACAGGAGTGAAACTGGGGAGACTCCCGCTGCCCTGGCCCACTGTGTCTAATGAGACCCCTCATGGACAGAGGGGGCTCTGCCTTGAATATACATAGTTCTCTGCTGGCATTGCAGGATTTCTCATGGGTTTCTCAATGATTTTTAATTTCAGATTTTTTTTTAATTTACTTTTTGAAACAGTCTTGTTTGTACCCTAAGTTGGTCCAGAATTTATTATGTAAACAAGGTTAGCTTTAAAAAAATGACAATTGATTTCCAGCATGGTGGTGATGTCTCTAATCCCAGTACTAGGGAGGCAGAGGCAAGAGGATCCCAAGTGCTGGAATTACATGATTATTTTAAACTTCATGTGTGTATGTGTGTGTGTGTGTGTGTGTCTGTCTGTCTGTCTGTCTGTCTGTCTGTCTGTCTGTGTTCATATAAGTGGAGGTCAACTTTCAGGAGTCAGGTCTCTCCATCATTTATGTTTTGGGGCTCAAACTCAAGTTGAGGTCTGGTAGTCACACTATCCAACACACACACACACACACACACACGCACTCACACACACACACACACACACACACCTATCTCAATATATTGTTGATCTCTTCTCCAGAGTTTGTAAAAATAAATAAATAAATAAATAAATAAATAAATAAATGCTTCAAAATGAATGAAATCTAGTCCAAGCTCCCACAAAGCCCATGCAAGACCACTCGCTTCCTTTCCAGTTTCTGCCGGTCCTGGGTGGACCCCACTTTCTAGCTGCTGTAGACTCAGGTTGGGCTTACCAGCCTCAGGGCAGCTGCTGACTCATGCTGACTCTGGGATCCCAGGACCCTCAACTCTCCTGCCTCTGAGCCAGGGCAGCCTTGCCCTCTGCCAGCGGTGGGCTCCACCCCCACGCCCCTCCGTGTCCTATCCCACCTGTCCCTGAGCCCACCTGGAAGACGTCGTTGGCACACTTGCGGCACAGGTTGTGCTGGCAGGGCAGGATCACCACGGGCTTGGAGAACATCTCCAGGCAGATGGGGCAGATGAGCTGCTTCTCCAGGTTGTCCATGCTGTGTGCATCCCCTAGCAGCGGCTTGAAACCCACCGTGAAGTTCATCCCTCGGCGCTCTGGTGCCTGCCTTGCTGTGGCCCTGTTGCTGGCCTTCTCCCCTTGCCTCTGCACCCTCGCTCTGTCCGTTTACGCTGTCTGTGGATTCGCGGGATCCCCGCTACTGCTCCCTCTTGAAAGAGCGATGTTCCAACGTCCCCTGGCCCTTCCTGTAACAGCTCCTCACCCCTGCCTATTCCCAGACACTCTGTCTGCACTCCCTGCTCAGAACCCTCACCAGGCACTTGTAGCTTTATCGCTCCCTGTGAAATTCTCCTCCTGTCCCCCCAAACCACCCTCTTGTTCACTCTGCGGGCAGCACTGTTTGTCCCTTCCTCCCTAGAGAGATTAATGTTACTGTGGGGGTGGGGACACAAGGGGCATCCGTGTGACATTCCAGTTCCCAATTTAGCTCATGTAAGGCGAGCCACAGCTGTCCCGGACTGAGTGGCCCTGACTCATTCAGGAATGGGTGGCCAGTAATGGTGTGGGGCTCACTTGCTGACACCGGGAAGGCTCCTTCGAACACTGGTCTCCGTGTTCTGGCTTGGGTCCCTCTTCCAAACGGAAATGCAGTCTAAACTAGCCTGTGGGAGAAATGCTGTACATGGCCCTGGGTGGAAGGCAAGGTCTGGACAGGTCTGTAGACACTGTCATCTCTTCCTTCACAGGCTTAGCCCCTGACCGCGGCCCTCCTGCTGTAGACTGCATGATTCAGAAGTGGAACGCCAGACCATAGAGAGAAAACTTCTTGTCCCATGTCTGCCCCATAATTGCTCTTGCTCAGCCTTTATATAAAAAACAACCCTGCACTTATTTACTTTGGGGAGTGGTAGGTGCCATCTGGAGCACATGTGGAGGTCACAGGACAACTGACACCCCAACAAGTCAATTCTTTTTCTGCAGCATGTGGGCCCCAGAAATTGAACTCAGGTGGTCAGAATTAGTGGCAGGTACCTTTATCCAATGAGTAATCTCACTATACACTTCCCTCTACCTCATTAAAGACAGGCTCTCGTGTAAGACAGGCTAGTCTTAAACTCACTGTCACCATGGGTGACCTTGAACTCCTGATCCTCTTGCCTCTACATCCAAAATGCTGGGGGAAAGCACCATTATCCCGGTTTATGTGGTGCTGGGGGTCAACTCGGGGCTTCAAGCATGCTGGAGAAGCAATCTGCTAACTGGGCTATATCATCAGCCCTTGGCTCGCCCTTGTTACATCATCCTAGGAGAGGGGTTCTAAAGCAAGAGACAGCTGCTGTACCAGGCCCAGACCTGCCTTATGATGATGACGTGAGACTGTGTGACTCTGGTCTACAACTACATTAGTGAATCCATTGCAAAGATGCTAAATTTGCTTAGAAACTGAGACAAGAGGGGACTGGGAATGTCTCAGTGGTTGGGAGAGCCTGTTGCACATGAGGACTGGAGTTCAGATCCCAGCACTCACACCCAGCTGTGATCCCAACTCCAAAAGACTCGGCACCCTCCACAGGCGCACAGACACATGTGCATATACATTTACGTGGATACACAAACACACAAAAATAAAAAGAAAAGAAGAGTTATGAGAAATGGATCTGGCTAGAAAGAATCTGCATGTTGTAAAGTTATTTGCACACCAGAGAATGGGTCTGCAAAGAAATCATAGAGCATTGACAAAGCCACCCCCATGGGCTCTGGGCACCGTTGACTCCCAGTTCCACAGTGATCGATTGACACTTCTGACCATGGCAGCCTTATCCGAGGCATGAGTGACAGTCATGGTCTCTTCTTCTATCCCACACACACTGAAATTGGACAAAGCTTTTCTTTTTATTGACATTCCTGAGCTTTTTCCCGTGAATACAGAGGTTTGATGGTCCCTAGGTCCTGACCCCACACGGGTAAGAAAGAAACATTAAAGCAGGGTACAGAGAGGATGCCAAGCCAACGCACCAAGTCACTAAGGGAAGTCTCCTGCCTACTGTCTGTCCCCATCACATCTCACGCCCCTGTGTTAACAACAAGATGTAAGGGGAGCATTCTGTGTGAAGTATCATGAGGGACAGAGACAGCAGGACTGGAGCAGGGGCTGCAGCCCATCCACAGGACCACAGCTGATAATGGGCTTAAGGATAAGGCTGAGGTCCAAGAGGAAGGCACAAACACAAGTTTCCCAAGCTGTCTTATGAATGGGGTGTGGATGCCAGTGGTGTAGGTAACAGAAGATGTTGAGACCAGCCTTCCAAAGGTGTTGCTAAGAAATGAGGCCGGTGCTAAAAGTTCTTGGTGCGCAGTGTTTCAACAAAGGAGGCTTAATTGGTGCAACAGCTCTTGGGATGGGAGACACCTTGTTTGGTGATCAGGATCCTGGTGAAGTTATTGGTAAGTGTTCAGGGGTCTATCCGACATTCACCCAGGCACCCGCTGGAGAAAGCTTGCACCCACTCAGCAAACAGCTGCCAACACTGCTTGAGAATGCATGTGGATAAAGATGGGAGTGGAGATAGTACTAAAAGAAGAGCAGCTAGAAGGTTCTATGGGGACAGGCTCTGTGGCTATGGAGGGCAGAGATGTCCTTACTAGGATGGATGTCATCATAGCTTCTGAAGCAGGGATTGTTTTTAAGAACAGGAGTCAAATTGGGGTCAGTGTCGGGACAGGGCTACTTGCTTCTCTCTTCAATGTATCCAACGGGCTGAGTGTCAGGGGTCTCTTGCTGGGCCAGCACCTAATGGTAGAAACAGTTGGGACCTTATTAGGAGTAACCACCAATAGCCAAAAGCACATCCCCTCTGTGTAGGCAGCTGGGGTTGATGCTATAAGAATACAGATTTTCCAATAATGACCCATCTGAAGTACTACCTATGCTTTAAATATATATAATATGTACATATTATATGTATAATATATGTGTATTATATATATGTATATATATGTATATATGTATGTATGTGTGTATGAGTGCACGCTCCTGTGTCACAGCATGTGTGCAGAGATCAGAGGACAGTTTGAAGGAGTCAGTTCTCTCCCTTCACGTGGGTCCCAGCGGTCAGGCTTGATGGCGATCGCCTTTACCAGCTGAGCCATCTCACCAGCTTCTCTTATCCTTCGCCCATCGCTGCTTCTCAATTTACATACCCCACACGCTTTCACGTTCCCTTAGTTATCGGCACATCTTGATCCTCTGCTTCAATATCTTGTGTTTCTGTGGTGGAATTATAGCATGCTTACGTAAATTTAATAACTGTTCACATGGTTTTTGTTTTGCGTCTTTCAGTCTACAAACCCTTACCTTGCAGTTACTTATTAGCACCACCAGATGACACTGTTGTGATCCTCGGCCAACACAGTCTTTTCAACTTTTAACTACAATCTAAAACAATGCATTCCTCCTCCCCCGCCCCCCGCCCCCATGCCCAGGTTGGGAATGAAATCCAGGGCCTTCCACGTGCTAGGCAAGTGCTCTGCTCCTAGGTCACCCCTTCTATTTGCAATAAGCTGCACCTGCAAACTTGTCTTCAGCTATTTCCTTTGCAAGCCGTGCTTCCCCAGTTCCTCCATAGGAAAGGGGCACGCCACACTGAAATGTCAGCCTGTACGGTGAGGAACTTCGGCTGCCTTCTCAGTCTCTCTTCACCCCAACGAAAGACTCGAGACACATTTCGGGGTTAACTACTCGGTTCACACCGGTCTTTCTCATGGTCCCCTCACTCCTCTCTACCTTATCCTGACTGAGATCTGACCCCCAATCCCTGTCTCTGCTCCTCACTTGATCTTGAAGGCTGAGAAGAGACATTCGTTTGTTGATTCTCAGCTTCTTCCTGGGCTGATGGATTAAGTTTACCGCAGCATAAACAGCAGCAGCAGCAGCAGCAACAGCCAGTCAGCAGGCACCAAAGGATAACAAGTGTCTGCAAGAGAGCAGAGAGGCCTCGGTCCCCCTGTTCTTTTTGTAGTTCCATGCAGACCTCCCCCCCCCCACCTTCCTCACAGCTAGAAAGTGAGAACAGAAGCATTTGTTCTGAGGAGGGCAGCCTTTCTTCCTTATTCTACAGACACAGACAGTATCTTACTATATATAGCCCAGGTTATCCAGTGCCTCCCAAGAGCTGGGCTCAGAGGTATGTGTCACCACAGCTGGCTCGATTTTATTTTATGTTCTGCCTGGATTTTATGGCAGCTCTGGATCCCCTGGGACTGGAGTTATAGAGAGTAGTGAGCTGCCATGTGGGTGCTGGGGATCAAACCTAGGTCCTTGACAGGAGCAGAAGACGCTCCCCACTGCTGAGTCATGTCTCTAGCCCCTCCAACTCCTTTCTCACTTCTGAAGGAATAGGAAGCACGGTGTACCTTGAACCACCAACTGTTCACTATAAAATAGAATCGGACACCTTCTTCACCAAAATGGTCATACAGGTATAGTCCCAGCGAGCCGTGTCGGTCATAGATCTTCCGTTTTGTAGGGTCAGTGAGTATGGCATGGGCTCTGTTGATCTCTTTGAAGATGTCTGTCGCTAGAGGGTTCTCTGGATTCTTGTCTGGATGATATTGCAAGGCCAGTTTCCTATCCAGGCAATAACCAAAAGTACAGTGGGGAGGGCTACAGGAAACAGCTGAGGCAGGAGGATCAGGATGGGGATACAAGACACAGACAAGGTCTACATTCCTTCTCAAGTCACGCTGAAGGAGGGGTGGACTCCTTTGGCCCCAAGATAAAAGTGTCTTGGGATTTAAAAAAAAAGAGGGAGGGGGATTCAGGGTTGGAGAGATGGCTCAAAGATTAAGAGCACTGGCTGCTCTTCCAAAAGTCCTGAGTTCAATTCCCAGGAACCGCATGGTGGCTCATAACCATTTTTTTTTTCGGGGAGGGGGGATTTATTCAGGAGATAGGGCAAAGGTGGGGGGAGAGAAATGGGAGAAGATGGCAGAGAAAGAGGAGAGAGAGAGGAGAGAAGTGGAGGAAGGAAAGTAGAGGCTGGCCATGACCACGTGGAGAGAGGGGGAAGGGAAAGGGGGAGAGG